AAAAAAAAAAAAAAAAAAAACAGGTCTGAAAACATAGTTTTTCAACTCCTTCAGAGCAAATATTAAGCGTAACTGTGGCGTGAGGAGAGAACGAGTAAAAAGTTCTTTTCGTTATAATCTATAACGTCACCAAACGTTTAAACTTTCACCGCTTGCTCCTCGTCAAGTCTCTTGGCTTAGCCCTGAAACAATGCCAAAACGCAACTGAAAAGTGCCACCAGACTATGTTGCCTTTCACTGCCGTACCACTAGCAGCTCTCTGTAACATGTAATGAATATAGGTTGGATTAGGATTGCTGCAAGAAGATAGTCTCATTGCCAAGTGAACCACGTCTCGGTGCCCCGCGATTTATTGAAACCTCACTACTTCTGCTGAAGGTTGCTACCTTGTATTGCCTTAGGTTAGGCTGGAAGTTATTTGCAGTGGAAATATCTGGCCGTCAAGTGATAAGGCTTAATAGTATCCAGGTTTGGGCGTTACTGCAGTTAAGCGTGCCCCCTCAACCATGCGTTTTTTCGCTTACCTTCATTTTTTTTTTTTTGTTTAGGGTTCTCAGCTTCACCTGATTCATCTGCCATAGTTTCAGAATTGTCTCCATACTTCTTTCAGACTTAATGACGGTCTACTACTACAGTTTCCTTTTAATTCTTATACTTTTTCATTACCAATGCAATCTTCAGATTCAAAGTTTTCACATTTTTTGACCGTATCTTCGCCTGTCCAAAATTATGTTGTGAAGCTTTTTTTAAGATTTCGTTGGCCGATTAAAACATTCGTGAGAATTTCAAAAGGTTAACCCCAACAAGTGGTTTGAAAAGAAGTTTATTCGACCATTCAAAAGCAAATAGCAAATATCTTGTGAAAAAAGGCTTGACTTTTCAATGGACAAATTTCCACATACTGGTGCTTGTGCTGAGCAGCGGAATATACACCTTCTATCACCATCATGGCGTCTGCATCTAATTTGTTAGCACTTCAGCATTAATTTCTTGACATCATACTCCTAGAATTGTCCTAAGACCGTTTACTAGCCGAGAGAGCGTATTTAGCAGCAAGTTCAGAAGCAGATGCATTATCGTAAATAAGGAAGAAAAAACTACTTAACTTCAAACTTCCTAGCTGCTTAGGACTATTTGGCTACTAAATTACTTTTCGCAGATTCATTAAGTGATCCAAATCAGATGGCAGCTTTGAAGAAAACGAGCAGTACTTATAAAGACAGCTTAGCATACTGAAATTAGCACGTTGAGCTGCAGAAAGATTCTGGTTTGCTGCAGCGAACAATTTGGTTTTTTTATCGCAAGGAGTCTCAGCCTACGGATCAGCAGTGGATTTCTGAGATTGTTTTAGCTGGTCTGGCAGATCACGTTTGACGCAGTTTCTCTAATGAGAAGAGTGTGGAAAAATCAATGTTATAATATGAGATTTACAGCAAAAAAAGCCGCATTTTACTGGAAAAGGCAAAGGAAAGAGAGTAAACAATTCTGGTAGATGAAAGATCTTGAATTGGTATAAAATAATTTAGTCAAAACATAATACTTTAAACTAAAGTTTTACTGCTACACATGATTAAT